CTCCGCACTCAGCTGGTACTTGTCTTCCCACGTCAAATTAGAAAAGTTCTTCTGCAAGTGGTCATGCAAAGTTCCTCCATCTGCGAATTCAAAGACCATGTGGTATTGATCAGATAAATCTATCACATCATATATATAGGGTTAGGGTTAGTGATGTTATAATATAATCGATACTATGTGCACAACTTAATCTTAAAGTACCTTTGTATATTCCTAAGAACCGTATAATGTTTAAATGATCATGTACCAGCTTATGGGTTCCCAGCTATTGCACATATATTATTAATTAATTATATATTGTTCAAAAGTATGCAGTAATAAACACAATTGAGAACCTCTCTGGTAAACTTTTTATAAAATTCTTCTTCACATTGTCCGATAAACAAGGTTTTAATTGCGACTGGTTTTCCAGAAGACTTCATCTTGGCTTTGAATACGACGCCATATCCACCATGACTGAGAACTGTACGGTCTACAATAGCATCTTCTGGAAATTGTTCGATAATTCCTTTCTGGACGCTTTTAGCTAACCACTCCTTATATTTGTTATTAGATGATTGACCTTGGGACATTTGTTCGAAGGCCCTTTGCCTCTTAGAATCTGTTTATTAGTATTGTTTTGGCCATGCTGTGGCATGTCACACGGGTATACATTCTTGCGAATATGTTAAAGATGTGGGCGCCTGTTGGGTATGCAACATAATAATATAAATAGTCATTTCATATTTAACGGATAAGTCAATATATTAGTAAATTTTATATAGATACAGTTTTTGCTAATTTAATCACATCACCGATCCTTTTAGGAAGCTATAATGTATTCTGAACATCTAACGTTTAGACATATTCTAATTATGACTTTCACTTTTATATTACAAGTTTTGTGTCGCAACAACACCTATGATATTTGTTCAATCTCTAACGACTTGTTGAAATCATTCACATTATTTTCTTTGTTAAGCAAACCCAGGATCTCTTCCCTTAATTTTAATGCCCGTGCATGTCCCGGTTCAATCTCCAATACTTTGTTGAGATCATTCATGGCATTTTCATACTGTTTAAGTGCGTAGTAAAGGACAGCTCTTTTACGTAATGTCCATGCAGCGTTCGGTTCAATCTCTAACGAGTTGTTGAAATCAGTCAATGCCCAGTTATGCTTTCTAAGCCTACGGAAAACTTCTCCTCTTCTGCTCAGTGTAAATGCGTCATCCGGTTGAATCTCTAACGCCTTGTCAAGACACTCTAAGGCCTCGTTATATTGTTCAAGCATACGAAAGACATCACCCTTTCTGCTCCATGCAAATGCATTATCTGGTTCAATTGCCAGCGCCGTGTCGAAATCCCTCAATGCGTTGTCATCCTGTCCAAGCATACAATAGACTTTGCCTCTTCGACTTAACGCGAATGGATCGTTTGGGTTAATCTTTAACGCCTGGTCGAGGTCACGCAATGCGGCATCATATTGCTTAAGCATGCAGTGTACGTCTCCCCGTTTACTCAATGCACCCGCGTTCGTCGGGTCAATCTCCAATATTTGATTGAGATCCTTCATAGCTTTGTCAGGTGAATTAAACACAAGGTAAACGTCTGCCCTTTTATTCAGTGCCCGTATATTATCTCGTTCAAGATCCAATGCTTTGTCGAGATCACGCAATGCATCGTCATACTGTTTAAGTAAAAAGTAAAGAAATGCTCTTTTACGCAATGTCCATGCATCGTTCGGTTCAATTTCTAACGATTTGTCGAAATCTATCAACGCGTCGGTATAGTTTCCAAGCATGCATAAAACTTCTCCTCTGCTACTCAGCGCGACCGTATCATCAGGTTCAATTTCTAACGATTTATCGAGACACTCTAGGGCTTCGTCGTACTGTTCAAGCATACGAAAGACATCACCCTTTCGGCTTAATGTAAATGCATTCCCCGGTTCAATCTCCAGTGACTTGTCGAAATCCCTCAACGCATTCTCATCCTGTCCAAGCATACAGTAGACTTTGCCCCTTCGACTTAACGCGAATGCGCTATTTGGGTCAAGTTCTAAGGCTTGGTTGAGATCACGTAATGCGGCATCATATTGATTAAGCATGCAGAACACGTATCCCCTTTTACTCAATGCATTAGCGTTCATCGGGACAAGCTCTAATATTGTGTTGAGATCTTTCATAGCCTTGCCTGGTAAATTAAGCGCAACACAAACTTCTGCCCTTTTATTCAGCGACTGCACGGTATCAGGTTCAATCTCTAATGCTTGGTCGAGATCCACCAGTGCCTCGGCATACCGTTTAAGCGTGTGGTAAAGAAATGCTCTTGTACGTAATACCCATGCATCGTTCGGCACAATCTCTAACGACTCGTTGAAATCGCTCAAGGCCTTGTCGTACTTTCCAAGTAGGCGATAAACTTCTCCTCTTCTACCCAGCGCAAATGCGTCATCCGACTCAACTCTCAACGATTTATTGAGACACTCCAAGGCGTTGTCAAACTGTTCAAGCATACGCAAGACATCCCCCTTTCTACTCAATGCAAATGAATTATTTGGTTCAATCTCCAACGCCTTGTCGAAATCCTTCAACGCATTGCTATCCTGTTCAAGCATATAGTAAACTCTGCCTCTTCGACCTAACGCAAATGCGTCATTTGGATTAATCTCTAATGCTTGATTGAGATCGCGTAACGCGGCATCATATTGTTTAAATATGCAGTATACTTGTCCCCTTCTACCCAGCGCCCCCCCGTTCATCGGGTCAATCTCTAATGCAGTGTTGAGATCCTTCATAGCTCTGTTAGGTGTATTAAACTCAAGGTAAATGTCTGCCCTTTTATTCAGCGCCCGTACGTTATCTGGTTCAATTTCCAGTGCTTTGTTGAGATCTTCCAGTGCCTCCTCATATCGTTTGAGTGGGAGGTAAAGGAACGCTCTTTTACGTAATGTCCACGCATCGTTTGGTTCAAGCTCTAGCGATCTGTTGAAATCGTTTATTGCCTTGTTGTGCTTTCCAAGCATGCGAAAAACGTCTCCTCTGCTACTCAGCGCGAATGTGTCATCTGGTTCGATTTCTAACGACTTGTTGAGACACTTTAAGGCCTCGTCATACTTATTAAGCACATTAAGGGCGTCTCCTTTTCTGCTCAATGCAAATGCATTATCTGGTTCAATCTCCAACGCCTTGTCGAAATCATTCAATCCAATGTCATCCTGTCCAAGTAAACAATAGACTCTGCCTCTTCGACTTAATGCGAATGCGTCATTCGGTTCAATCTCCAATGAGCGATTGAGATCCGCCAAGGCGTTGGCATGTTGGCCAAGTATGCTGTATATGTCTCCCCTTCTACTCAATGCGAACGCATTGTTTGGTCGAATATCCAACAAGGTATTGAAATCGTTCAACGCTTTATCATATTCTTTGAGGCAACAATAGACTTCTCCTCTCTTTCTCAATGTCCATGTATGGCCCGCTTCAATTTCCAACGACCTATTGAGGTCGTGCAATGCATAACTGTATTCTTTAAGCGTTAGATAGACATCTCCTTTTCTGCTCCATGCAAACGCATCATCTGGTTCAATATCCAATGACCGGTTGAGGTCGTTCAATGCAAGGTCATACTGTTTCATTGCGTGATAGACGTCGCCCCTTCTGCTCAATGCAAACGTGTCATTTGGATCAATCTTTAATGCTCTGTTGAGATCTCCCAATGCATCGTCGTCTCGTTTAAGCCTATAGTAAACTCTACCTCTTCTACTCAACGAAAAGATGTCATTTGGTAGAATGGACAGTGCTATATCGAAATCATTCAACGCCATCTCATACTGCTTAAGCATGCGACAGACTTCACCCCTTCTACTCAATGCAAATGTATCATTCGGATCAATCTCCAATGAGCGACTAAGATCCGCCAAGGCTTTGTCGTACTCTTTGAGCATGCAATAGACTTCACCCCTTCTACTCAATGCAAAGGTATCGTTTGGCTCAATCTCCAGCGACTTGTTAAAATCTTTTAAGGCTTGCTTGTCCTTTTTAAGCATGTAATAAACTCTTCCCCTTCTACTTAATGAAAACGTGTCGCTCGGGTTGATTTCTAATGCTTTCGTAAAATCGTTCAATGCATTGTTGTACTGTTTGAGCATTGTGTAGACTTCGCCTCTCCTACTCAATGTAAATGCATCATCTGGCTGTATACTCAGCGATTTATTGAAATCAAGCAATGCCTCGTCAAATTGCTTAAGCGAATGATAAACTTCTCCTCTTTTGGTCAGCGAAAATGGGTCACTTGGATCAATCTCCACTGCCTTGATTAAATCGTTTAATGCTAGTTGATCGCGTTTAAGCATGTAATAAACTCTCCCTCTTCTGCTCAACGTCCACGCGTCATTCGGTTCAATTTCTAATGCTCTGCTAAAATCGTTCAACGCATCTTCATACTTCTCCATCACACGAAGGATTTCTCCCCTTCTGCTCAGTGCAAATGCGTCGTTTGGATCGATTTCTAACGCTCTGTTAAGATCAGTCAATGCGGTTCCATCTTGTTTGAGCATGAAATAGACTCTTCCCCGTCTTCCCAACGCCCACGCATCATTTGGATTGATTAGTAATGCATTATTGAGATCGTCTAATGCATTGTCATCCTGTCTGAGCATGTAATAGACTCTTCCCCTTCTGCTCAATGCCCATGTATCATCAGGTCTGATATATAGTGCTTTATCAAGATCAACCAATGCGTTATCATACATTCTGAGTATGCAATAAATTTCGCCTCTTCTACTGAGTGCGAATACATTGTTCGGTTCAATTTCCAACGATCTACTATAATCTGCCAATGCGTTTTCATACTGACCGAGCGTACTGTAAATATATCCCCTTCGACCCAATGCCCACGCATTATTCGGTTCAACATCTAGCACTCGGTTAAGATAATATAATGTACTATTATTCGGGTCCAGGTCTATCGGCATCTGTTCAAACTTGTTGCCCAAAAAGATAACGTACCAATATAGCTTTAACTCATTTCTCGACACGGTCGTTGGCAGTTTGAGTACTATGGATGCGGAAGATGTATCCCAACTTTGAATACTGGCAAGCTCAGAACTCGATTCTATTCTGTGTGTCATCGTATTATAATCTGAAGACTCTGTCATTAAAAGAAGCGAATGTTCTTGCAACTCGTGTCGATATAACTTGATAGTCTCAACTCCAAGTTCTTTGACTTTTCCTCGTTCAATAATTACATCTCTATGTTTCGGACTAAAGTAGCCGATTTCAACAGGATTGCCAAATATTATCCACTGAATGTAAAGGTCTGTGGTTGATGCACTTTAACGTATAGCAAGTAAGCATATAATTGTAGATTAAGAAATGATTGACCACTTGTTACAAATGGAATCTACTTACGGATATTCTGTCCAATCAATTTCGAACGCCATTTCGTATGTATTGGTCGAATACAAGCTTATTTTCACATCGTCTCGTCTCTTGTCCTTTTCATAAAGTGCTCCATAAACATAATAGGAAGTATTGTTAAAGGGCGTAGGGAATTTAACACGGCAGATGTCTTTACTCCACGGATCAATTATTGATTTTCCAGTGAACAAAATTCGAATGTCGGGGATATAATTCCCAGAAACCGGATTCCGCATGGTGGGATACAAGCTTGCAAGACGCATTTTTAATGGTTTGTCCAACAATTCGTAGATTGGAATAAAGTCTGATGGGTCAATTATAGTCCATTGGTTTTTGTCAATCTGAATGAGTTGCTGCCATTTTGGTATTGCTCTAACACGGTGAGAAAAGATGTTACAAACGATATATGTGTTTGCTGGGCGTGAATGCATGCATCAGCATAACTCTTACTCTATTCTTACTACGTCTCCATTACCCGAGACGAGATGGTCACTTTGGGATGGTTGTATTAAATCTGACCATTTTCGATATATGGTATCGAACGTGAGATCATTATCACAGTCTATTAAAAAAAAAAGTAAGTTGGGAAAAGAGAAAAAAGCTACACATTCTCTCTTTCTCTTTGGGACATGGTTTAATAGTTACCTGAAATAATTTTGTTATCTGCAGCCGGATTAGGATCCATAGTCAATTTAGTAGCACGCTGAAGCTTCCCGCCAAGTTGAATTTGGCGATTCCACCAATAACCATATTCGGCAAATACATCATCTAATGCTTTATATGGAGTGCCGCTATCAATAGCTCTGTTAATTGCATCAACGAAGTCTTTTGTTGGTTCATATTCTTCAAAGTCCATGGTACATTGCCTGGTGACGACTTGGAATATGACGGTACTATCAGGCCGAGGATTAAAACAGGGATTGTGTTTGTTTGAATTAGCAAATAGGCCCAACGGCTCGCACAGAATATCGTCATCCGGTTTAATATGATGTTCGTATAAGAAAGTATCCGA